ATAACAATTCAGTCTTCAGTTAGGTTCTACATGTGTTATACAATCATAACTTAACTCAAGGTTTCTTTCCAATTTTGATTTGGTAACACTACTGTATGAAATGATACTCTGTTGTAACTAGCGAAAATGAATATTAACATTCAGGTCTCTCTCCAAGTAAAGACCACTTTTGGGACCAAAATTTCCATGATCTTTGGTAGCTTTGGTCTCTAATTCGGATAATAAAGATAAAATACATTACTTAATTTCCGACCACAGTAAAGTGGTCTTTAATTGGAGGTGGCCATTAATTGAAGGGGTCATAAATTAGAGGGAGACCCGTATTTCTCAGCTATAGCCTACAAATTAGGTTCTAGCTTAAATGTAGCTCAACTAGTATGAGGTATATGGAAGTTATAGAGTACTGTATTGCAAAAGGCACTTTATATACATAAGCCTATATGTACTGTATGTATTTTAAAATATGATACTTGCAGATCCAGTAATTTTAAATTCTAAAGAAATGAGTGTACATTTATCACTTTGAATTAATGTTTTATGCATGTGCATTGTGTATCACTGTGGAATATGTACCAACCTGTAATCTATAGGCCTTTTACTGCCTGACTGAATTCTCTCCAAAGTCTTCAACTTCAACTAAAAAAAAAAAAAAAAAAAATAGCTGTAAGACTATATGTCTGAAAATCACATTGTTTTCCTTAAGTACTCAGACATGAAATATTCTTGTAACCGGAACAATAAAAATCATCTTCAGAAGAATCATTAACTACAGTATCAAGTACCCTCAATAGAATCATATTTGTTAACAGGATTTTCACAATCAGTAGTCACAAACATCATCTAGAATCATTATTACCAAGTCACTTTTCTACACCATTGTATAGTGGGTGACCCTTCCAGTTTATCCTAGGTCAGCTTAAATTCAGTAACAAAATAAATTATAAGCTAAGTCTGAGGATGCTTAGGGTTATGTTTTGTCATGAGAACAAAACCAGTATTGACGAGATTTAAACCAGGACTAGTACCAGAACTAATTTGAGGGGTCCATGGTTTGAGAGTTGGGGATCTTGGTTTACCACCACCACCAGCAAGCATGTCGCCGCCTGCACACGTGCTGCTGCCCACCATCCGCTACCATCATCACCGCAACCACCATTATCATAATCATCACCATCAACAATCATCATCAACATAATCATCGTTATACTTCAAGCAGGTCCAACTGCCAGTTTCTGCTTGCTTTTACCTACCTTGTAACGATAAACATAGTACACCAGTATAAAAACAATGATGAGAATAATCACCACTACTATGGGGATCAAAACTTCAAGAGGAAGAGGCAGTAATGGCTTATAATACTCCAATGAGCCCACACTGAAATTCAAGTTACCATGGTAAACCTGAAATAGATATTCATCATGTAGCAAATTCAGTTTGTAATACAGTAGTATATTCTCATCTTCTCTTGCAAGTATATATATATATACGCTCCTTTACATTGTACTATTAAGGTAGTACATTGTTTTGTAGAGCACTCTTATTTTAAGATGGTGCATTGTTTATGTGATACTATTTTGCATTTTGCATAGCACACTCATTTTGGGTTTGTGCACTCTTGTATTCATAATCAGTGTACCACGCTATTTTGCAATTTGCATAGCACACTCATTATTGGGTTTGTGCACTCTTGTATTCATAATCAGTGTACCACGTCACACAAGACTGACCCAAGCTATGTTTAAGTCAGTGGTGTGTTTCATTCTTAAAAATCCTGAGCTGCACTGATGAGATCTAACAAGATCAAAACGGTACTGTCTGCAGATTGGAATATTTACGCTCCTTACATTGTACTATTAAGGTAGTACATTGTTTTGTAGAGCACTCTTATTTTAAGATGGTGCATTGTTTATGTTTACTATTTTGCAATTTGCCATAGCACACTCATTATTGGGTTTGTGCACTCTTGTATTCATAATCAGTGTACCACGTCACACAAGACTGACCCAAGCTATGTTTGAGTCAGCTGTCTCTTATACACATCTAGATGTGTATAAGAGACAGCTTTATTGACTGTATAAAGTATACATAAAATAGACATCTTTTTTGTACATACAATTTATGAATAAAAATTAAACATTTTCTAAAATATGGTTATACCCAACTAAACTACACGACCCATGGTAGGAATTACAGTACTCACTATGACCTCTGCGGAGCTGTCAGATCCATCCAAGCTTAAAGGCTGTTCTTTTGGAGGCATGCATGTCAGGAGGCTACTACCCAAATCAATCACCTCGCACTTCCCTCGTCCAATCCTTACTTTAACATCATCCTTCCTGGAAGCGAGGTTCAGATTTTGGCCCTTTTTTAAAAAAAGTATTAAATTCATTTATTCAAACTTCATTTAAACTTGAGTTATAAAAATATTTACAGTATATTGCACTGTATAAAATAAATATAAAAATTATATTTATTTCATACTGTGCAATATACTGTACTGTAAATATTTTTATAACTCGAGTTTAAATAAAGTTTTAATAATAATAAACACAGTAAAAAGAATTGTTTGATCATAAAAAAAGTTTTTGATTCAACTTTAATAGAGTGAAAAAGTGTAAGAACACAATTATTAAAATACTATATACAGCAATATGAAAAATTATAAAGGCTTATTGAGAAATTGAATTGAAATGAGTGTGGGAGACAGTAAATCAAACATTTTTTAAATATTTTCATCAATGGTTCTTTTTCGAACTATTTTTGCTAAGCAATAATTCTTTTTTAATTTTTCGTCTCAAATTTTACCATCGTAAAACAAAATTTTTAACTTTTGTTTTTTCGCTGCAATTCTTCTTTTTCAAATTTTATTGTATTTTGACCAATTATTTTGTACATATTTATTTTTAAATTAAAATTTTATTGATTAGCCTATTTTACTTGAATATTTTATGCTAATTTAATTTATGTTCTCATTGGCATCGGAGAGCCACTAGACAGTGATTCAGTTCACTTTTTGGCAATCCTGTCCGGCCAACTGAGTGTTGTTTTTTGCTCTCTGTTATCTTGTGTTTGTCAATTTTAATTTTTTTTGGACGAAATAAATGAAATGAAATGAAATTAATTTTTTGACATATTAGGATTTTGGTGGTCATACTGTAGTTTAAAGTATTCCATAAGATAGGGCCTTTATATTAAATGCTACAGTACTTATTTTACATTGTGTTTTGGGATGAAAAAATTTGAACTACCATGATGAAAATTATAATTAAAATTTTTGTATTGAACTAAAATTTTAATCACAATAATTAAACTTTCCAAATCATTTCTTTTTCTTAAAGATGTCCAGTTTGATAAATTCAGTGCTTTTATAATTCTAGGTCAAGGGTGGCAGCGGGAAGGGGAGGGGGCGTTGTCCCAGAGTAGAGCAAAGTGAGCATGGTTGAGCGTCACTCAAAATATTTGGAAGTGGTCCACGTACGGGACGAAGCCCCTGAAAAATATGACAATTTAGGGGTTTGAAAGGCTTATTAAACGATTTTATAGATAGATAAGAGTCTACTAATATGTAGAAAATACATATACTATTATTTATCTGGGAGCCCAGCTTTCTCCGACAGGGGCCCCGTCCCTCCGCGTCCACTAGCGTCACGCCTCGTTCTAGGTTTCAATAGAAGTACTATCAAAAAGACCACACTCATAGATTTTTACAGTATTACACTTATAATATACAGACTATTTATAAAATATTTATATATTATTTTGTGGAGACTATACACGTTTACATTTATATTTAATCAAACAAGTATGTGGCAACATAAGCAACATGAACTTATATTACTTGAATTTAACTTAATTAAGGCTATATGAGGCATGTTGTGGCAAAATGGCTAAGTTGTAGCAAAAATTTTAATTCAAGTTATTGCTATTTTCAAATACCTGAGTATGTGATCTTTAAAATGAGAGGTCATTCATTCAAATTGGACATTTCAAACCTAAGTTATTGGAAAGTGAAAGTACAGTACTCTTAGAGTCAAGATAAACAGGATTTTGAGTATATTGCCTTTCAAAGTTATTTGTGCATACATTGTTTAATAGAATGAACTATGAAAAATAACGTTAAATAAACAATTTGTTAACCACTTCCACAATTAATACTTTGGGACATGATTAATAAGACATTAAACTGTTGACCTACAGTGAAAAACAAATTTGGATTTTTTATCAATTTTTTGAGCTTCCATATTTTATAGCTCATTTACTCAATACTAGACTGTGCGACAACTTTACCATTTCGCCACAGCATGCCTCATATGTGTACATGTATGTACAAACAAATATACAGACATACCAGTATATCCAAATTCTCTTCATCATCCCTCTTATAGACATTATTTTCCAGCTGATAATATACAGGATTCACATAATATTTGAAGGACTGGAATTTCTCTAAACCTTGAACAGACTGATACTTCTCAACACCATCAAGTATAAATCCATAACTGGGAACCAACATGGAATCTGAATCTCCCGGATCAAACTTGCTAAAGATGTTGGGGGCCTTACATGTCATTGAATCCATAGTTGCATTCATACAATCCTGCAATAACAAACAAAATAAATAGTAACATCACTTCAAAAATTGGCAAGGCCATTTTATTCTACATTTCTCTTTTATTGAAGCATCATTAGGGACAATACATAATACATACAACAAAGGAACAAACTATATACAGTACAAGTTACCAGAAATCCTGATTAATATGCATTTATTTAAAAGAGGCAATTATCCAATTAAAGAAAAGTGGTATTATGATGAACAGGCCTGGAAAAAAAAATGTTTGTCTCTGAGCATGAATGTTGTCTCGATAAAATGCCCCAACACCAAATATTATCTGTACACTATATAGCCCAACAGTTTATTTTTTTGAATTTTTTTCCCCCAAATGCCTCCAGGTTTTTCATGTTGCCTCCGACTCCCGGTTGCGAACGTATTCCTGCCCTGATGACGAAAAAGTATATTGAGAATAAACAGTTCTGAGATAACAAAAGAGCTTCTTAAAACTATTACTGCAATTCAGTTTTCGCTGCCATTTGAATTGTACTTTGTATGTACGATATTTTCAAAATAAATATACCGTTTATACATAAGGTTTCAGCAACAAATGAAATCACATTAGCACAGATTTTAAATGGATATTTAGTTCTAAATTAAATAGAGCATCTCTGTAGAGAATTGGTACAGGTCTCCCTCTAATTATAAACCCCTCCAATTTATTTATTCTGCCTTTAATGTGAAAAAAAAAAACTGATCTTACTAGTGGATAACATTAACGAGAAATGAAAATCAGAAAAATTTACCGAAGTTAAACAGATACATGAATATAAAAACACAGAAACATGAACTTGAATATAAACAAAAGATACAATTAAATTCAAATGATTGCAAGAGATAGAAGGGTGGTCAAAAAGACTTAATAGTTTTCTGATTTGATCAAATTTTTAATTTAATTATTATTAAAGAGACCACCTTTCTGCAGTCCCACATTAAAACATGTCTTTTATCTCTATTATTCTAATGAGAAACCAAAGCTGCTAAAAACCATGAAAATCCCAATCCCAAAAGTGGCCTTGGAGGGAATTAACCTGTACTGGTATTGCAGGGCATTTATAGGGCACATATTACTGTACAATCTTTTCTCCTTTGCAATGGTAGTGGGTGGATAGCCCACACTGATGTATTCATGGGAATGAGGAGTGGACCTTTATGGTCCCACGGTTCTGGTTTCAAATCCACAATTTATCAGCCTCAGCTTTGAAAATATTAAAGTACTTAGCAAACTACTAGCGCTTGCTAACAGTTAGCGTATCCGGATACTGCTAACGGTTAGCGCTAACTGATCGGGCGTTCTCACGCAGGTGCTAACGGTTAGCACTAACGGTTAGCTCCCGATCCGGATACTAGGGCTCTCGTGAGAACCAGGCTATCAAATAATTTCCTCAAAGGTAAACTAGAAAACTTACTCCATAAAATATTTTGTTACTTATTGTCATTGTCAACATCCTATTGTTTGCTACATGTAGATTCATTCCGCTTACTTTAATATCTGTCCCACCACTGAGAAAAAATCAGAAAATCATTTATAAATTCAATTGATTTTGAGAAATATGCAGTAAAATCGCCTCCCAGAAAAATTTCTCCCTCCTAAATATATAACTCAGATGCAGTCAAAATTTGTATAGGCCTTACTAAAAGTAATTAAGGCCGATAGTCCTATCAAGATTTCATAGTAATAAAAAACATGGCTGGTAAAATTTTATTGGGGAAACCTAAAGACTGATTATCCTTCCTCATTAAATCAACCCCTTCCTGGGGTGAAGTTCTAATCAAGAGGACCCACCAGGTCCGAGAACAGGGTTGGCAGAGTATCACCTATAGGCCAGACCAAACACTGTCTAAAAAAATTTATAAGTTTATTAGGAAAATACCAGAAAATAGGGTGGAGAGTGCTTAGCTGGATTCCACACTGACCAGGTTGAATGTCTAATAGCCTGTATAGTTAAATATGTCCCTAAATTAGCTGACATTGTGTATCAAAATATCATAATGCACATAGAAAATTAATAAGATTTGTTTAAGAAGCTCAAGCACATCTCCCTAATAAAGTGACTCCTCTTAGTATTGTTTTCGACTATAAAGATGAAACACATATGCAAAGATTCTCTCACCTCGCTATGGATCTATCTGGATCAATTTCAGCAATGATCGGGTCGGCTTCATACTTGAACATTACACCACTGTCATCTTCCCCGTTGTCAATCATCAAACGCACACCACCAGTTGTCATGTTGCTAACTGGAGACGTTGTGCAGTGAATCGTTCCGTCATTCTTCTTCCTACACAATTATGTTAATTCACAACTTTATACTTTTCAGGTGCTACTTATAATATTAAATCAGTTTGAAGTTTAAGGAAATAAAATTTGCTTTAGAATAATATTTTTAGTCACGCTTGCCAAAAATTACTTAAACTGGGCACACACTGCACTGAATGAGAGTTTTACAACTGTTGGGCAACAAATCCATCTGCGCCATCTGACGATGCAACGCCATCTGCTAATTTTCAATGACAGACTGAGCAGGAACTGGTCCTTTACTAAGCTAAATATTGTTAAAATCAAATGCAACTAGAGCAGTCACTTCTCTGCCCTGTGCCTGAGTACAGTATCAACAATAACTGCAGCATACCCTCAATGAAATAATGGAATCACCCATTGTATTCAGGCACATTATTTTATGTCCCTCTGGAAAATAATGGAAATGCCCACAATGTTTTCTTGAGATTCCATTATTTTCTTTTATGGTCAAAAGTCAAAAACTGAATTTCTGTGACCTTAATCATTTCCTTTGAAAAATTGAAAAGTTTCTTTCTTTGATCCATTTATTAGTTTTTGTGTAATCTCGCTAACAGGCACTGCTAAGAAAGTCAGAAAGGCAGTCCAACAGACAGCCAGCCCGACAAACATCAGTTTACATAACCTCCTTGGCAGATGTAATTACAGAAGACTACTCTCTATTCAAATTATGTATGTAAAAAATCTAGGTTTTCCTTTAAATAACGCATTTTGAACATAGATAACATATGATTTGTTTTAAAAGTGAAGAATTCTCTTCTTACTCAATATTCAGACACTGGTGATCAGCGATGGTAACATTGACAGTGGAGCCAGCATCTAGATGTTGTCCCTCTAAAACAACATGCGTTCCTCCTGATTGAGGACCCAGGTTTGGACTAATCCTATTTACCACTGGAATCTAAGGGTAAATAAAAATTTATATATATATATATATATATATAAAATATATACATAGGCCTATGCATACATACACACATATATATATAGGCCGATATATATATGTATATATATATATATATATATATAAATATAGGCTATATATGTGTGTGGGGGGGGGGGGGTGGGGGGGGTGTGTGGGGGAACCCTTTATACCACTGTCTCTTATACACATCTAGATGTGTATAAGAGACAGAACCAAGGAAGCAAAGCTTGTACAAAGGTCCAGTTTGACTAAGTAAACAAATAAAAAAATAAAATAATTAAATAATGAAAACAATGGAAGTTAAATTACATGACAAATCAATAAAAACATTACTGTAATTCAAAATGATGATCACCATGTAATAGTGAAATTTAAGATCAATGTATTGTATGTGTTTATAAATGATTCTACATGATGGCATATGGTATGATGATGACTGAAGTGTTGCATAGGAATGGATTTGTGAGTTCATGACAAAGTGTTGTGAAAGTGATATAGTTTCCCTACATATATATATACGCTGTATCAGTATAAGCAGATATTTGGCGGTCATCAGACAACTGGTAGCCTACAGTTGTTTCTTGTTGTTATACCCATTTGTCACCTGTTCTTTCCCTTTCATATTTAGATTTGTTGTGACAGCACTTAGTGATCGAGTTTGTTTCTTTTATTTATTGTGTTCTACTCTTTCATACATAGGATGGCAAATTTTTCTTCAACACATAGGTTGCATTGCCTTGATTTGCGCATGTGTGTGTTCGATTTCTTTAGGATATCCCACTTTATTTAATATTCATGAACTTTTCCTTTTCTTTCTCAAAACACATATGGCATCTAAAAAGAAAAGGTCGTGAATATTCAATAAAGTGGGATATCCTAAATTTTTGCATAAAAGTCAGTGCCACAAACTCTAAAATGCAAAGTTAACCTTGTTAGTACCAAATGGTGGTCGACAGTGTCAAAAGCTGAAGAACATACAAAAATATATCACTTACCACAAATGCATATACACTTTCAGAGGTTGCTGAATAGGTTGTATCTCCTTTGCTAAGTGTAATCTTTACTGGACCATTCTTCATATTCCCAGTGTTACTCAGGGTACACTGCAACCTAAATCAATTAAATAATCAATCAATCAATCAATTAATTAATTATTCAATCAATCAATCATTAATCAAAATGTTGGATCACGTCTAGAGATGTCCTAATTATAACCTTTACTTCACCAAGAGCCCCAGTGTTATGTATGGTATACTCCAACCTTAAAAATCAATCAATCAATCAATCACTGAACCAGCCAATTATTTTAAATTGAATTAATTATTCATAGTCATAGATCAATTAGTTATAGATACAAAAAATTATTCTTTATCAATAATCGTTATCATTAAGGCAACATCATGATGCAGGACAGCATTTCCATGACAACTATCACCATCACTAGCAATATCACATGGTTGATGTCCTGTGAGCTCCCAAGTCACAAACTATGTAGTGTGTATAAATATTTTAAAAAAACGGAGCATGAAGCAACTGAACATCTGAAAACCTAATTATCCAGTGCTTAAAATAATCTATACATTTACTACTAACCTACAGAATATGAAAATATATTGCTCACAAATGCTAATACATGGTGGAAATGGTTTGGTGCAGCAGGAACAGTTTTGGTTTCCCAACTTCGAGGTTGGGGTTTCAATTCCTTGCTGTGCATTTCACTTGTGTCCCTATGCATGAAGGCACTTCATATGCATTGCTTCTCTCCATCCAGAAGTATAAATGGGTACCTAGCTGGTAGGGTTAAATTCCAAAATGCGCTGATGTAGCTGCTGCAACGTTATGGAATACTCCCCCAGGGAGTTTGAAAATTTGTGGTAATGACAATGTGAAGCACATAGAGGGATTAACAATATGCACTATAAAAGTCTACCACTATTATTAATATTTGATTATTTTAAGACCTAGCTTGGTTTAACACAGGAGAGATACGATTCATGGCATCATGTTGCTTGATCTCAATATGCTTCTGAGCATGTGCAGAACTTGCCTAAAGCAACAACATGTGCCAACGATATAGTTCAGGCATGCAGTGGGAGATGAGTGAAGGCCTATCCGGGTACATTTAGATTCCTTGGTCACATCCACACTATCAAATTTTCTTTGACAAAAAACTGTATGCCCATATAATGTAGTCATACATGTTGCTACTATACTGTATGGTCATGATGTGATGTCATCATGACCCAAATTGAGATGTCACATGTTTTTGTCAAATACAATTTTATAGTCTGAACAAGGCTTTATGATCACAATGGACCTTTCTGGAGTGTCAATCAAACCGTCGACTGACCAATCAGAACAGAGCCCATGAATATGTGTTTATTCCACAGCCTCTTGTATATGTATGTTGTGTGGTATTTTTGTGGGACCTTAGCAAAAATATCCAAAGGGCAGAGTTCAGCGGAATAGTCCATTAAGTTACACATTTACTTATTACATTCTTCCACATCATAGCAACATGACCATTCAATAAATTATCCGACACTTACTGTTCAGATGGCATAAATCCCTCCTTTTCTAGCACACATTCCACATCAGCAACAGTGATACCCATAGTATCGTTAAATGACAGTCCAAGGTTTTCGCCATTAATAACCAATCGAGTTCCTCCTTCAATGGGTCCTTTCAGAGGGTTAAACTGTAAAAGGGAAAAGTGTTTATATCAAACAAAAGTAATCTTTCGAACATCGCAATTATTAGCCTAGCAATCAAAACAGCCCAAACATCGCTACCAATGAGTAAGTAAGTCCTGTTTCAAAGTTTTTAATAGGTATATTCTTTATTGCAAATTACAACTTAGGCTAACACAACCAAGTATGCATAACTAGGTGGTTTAAACCTTAAATGTGAGGCATTAATATTTTAGGTTAAATAAAAGCTAAGTTTAGTATACTAGGATACTTACGCTATTAATTTTTGGATTAAAACAGAATACGTTTCCTGTTAAGAATGATGTTTCAATTTCACAGTTATCTCTGATTACGCACACATCCTGATCGCACCATCCACAATCATACTTGCTGTCCGCAAATAGGCACTTTCCACAGGTGTCCCGGAAAACTTCGCACTTGTACAAAGTAACTAGCAATTAAAAACCAAGTTTGAAAATAAATTAAGTTAAGAAAGTTTAAACAAATGTTCAAACAAATTTTTAAAAATCCAGAATCAATCCGTACGTTAAAATCATACGAAAACTCCATTTTAATTTTCTAAAATTAAGTTAATATATTAACTTAAATTACACTGCATTTTATAGCTTACACGGTACAAAATTCTGTCTAATGTAGCCAAACAAGGATGTCAAACATCACTAAAGACCAAGGAACTTAAGGGATCAGAAAATGTACCACCTCACCTGTAACATTATATGGATTGTCAATCATGAAATCATGATTCCAACGCACTCCCAGCAGAATGGGTTTTTCCTGCATCCACTCTGAATATGAATACTGTAAAGCAGTTGAATAAAAAAATGTTTAATAGAAATAAAATATAAAAAATGATATATTGTCATAGTGTCTTATTTGAAGTATCCACCATCCATTGTTTTACATGTTTATAAGAGATTGATTATATTTCATTTATACAAACACCTGAAGAAGTTCACTGTGTGAACGAAATCTTGTGCTCAATAAAATATTTGTTACTCTTAAAAGTGTTGCTTGCCTTTGAATACTGTTTGTATAGTTCAGACTAACAGTGCTAACCCACTGTGATTTGATGTTACAATACAGATGTACTGACAACGTTAAAACTGCTACCGTGTATATTCTCATGTATAAGACAAATTAAAATCAGAAAACAGGGAGTGGTCTTATTATAATATATTATACACACATACAGATTTTCTATTTTTAAATTATGTTCATCTTATGAATGGATCATCCCATAACACACAAATTTATTACTGAAATGAAGCTACTATTACTCTTAGTATGAATGATTGCAATTTTAAATTCAGGGAAATAAGATTTTGATGAACATTTAAAAGCCCATAGAATGGTAATATTTGGAAAAATTGTCCATACATCTGACTTTCAGCTAATGCAGTATCAAGACCATAAAAAAGCAGCAAAACCCATGAATTTTGACAGGGTGTTGTCTTTTATACGTCTAAAAATCTTCTAAAAAAATCTGGGGTAGGGGAATGATCTTCTACACGGAGCGCCCTATACATGAGTAAAATGCGAAGTGTTGTGTTTAGTTGCAGCCCGTTCACCAATTGACACATTTTCAAAAACAATATTGCATTATATGTATTCTAACTCAACCATGTTTCAGCCCATGAAATTTGGAGAAAAATATTTCTCAAAATTTTTGCTGATCTTAAATTCTCCGAGGCCAGCAGTCTCAGCAATTTTTTACTAAATAGGCCTATAGTATAAACTACAATTCTCCAATCGACTTACATAGTCATCATTGTAAAACAAATCTGATTTACGAACAACCAATTTTCTTGGTTTGATGACGTACAATACGTTAAATTTAGTTTCTGCTATAGCCTGTTTCAGTCAGAGTTTTGACTTTCCAAGCAGTTTTTGAAGCAAAGAAACCTAGGCCTAGGCTCTATAGCTAGGCCTAGGTCGGCAAATCATTGCCGTCCTGTAGCAATTCTGGCTTGGCAATATGGTCGGAAATTGCCGATTGCCGAAGTGAATTTCATGGGCGGATGTTTAAATGTATACTACTTGAAATAGAAAAAAAATGGCATTACGTATAAAGTAAATTTCAATAAGTTTTTCTCTTTCAACTGAAGATTAGATAGCAAATAATCAAATAGATGTATGAGTTGAAGTATTCCTATAGTTTTTTGTATACACTACTAATATACTGTAGCTATACAGACATGTTTTACATACCTCATTGGATTTGCATCTGATAGTATCTGCTGTCACTTCTGCCTTCACAACCTTTTCATCCAGCACACATTCATATTCAATGTGGCCAGCCTAAGATACAAAGCAGTACAAACTTATATGCTGATTTAATTTAATGTTATATATTTTGACTAAATTTTACCTGTATATTTTGTAGTTTTTGTAAATTTCTCTGTATTTAATTTTAAACTACTATGAGATATAAAGTTAATCTTGAATCTTGATCTTGTACGTGTGTTAAAAAATGTTAACATTTCTCGGTATAGTGAATGTTTTTAATGCCATTATCCGGCAAAATAAACCAATCACAGAATCTTCTATGTACACTACTGTAGTTATACAATCATGATCATCATGACAAACAATACACTGTCCATTAACGATTATAATCTCGGATCAAAAATCTGTTTTTGTATATTTAATGTTATTGCATAATAATGTTTCATTCCTTTTTTAGGCCTTGTAGAATCTATGTATGAGGTATATAAAACAAATATTGACTGCTCCAGATTCGGGAAACAGTGAAATCTATAGCCCCTCTGTGACGTGGAGACCTAGCCTACTATCTTATGTAAATTTCACTGTAGACTGACATTGGCACACAACATTAGTAAGAT